GTTTCAGATTGCTTCAATAGTCCTAAACCACGAAAGCGATTTTTCCTTCTCTAGTACAGGATCCAGTCTAGCATTATGTAACACATTTAATTGTCATGTTTCTCTAGTCTCCTTTTGTCTGGAACATTTTTATAGCTACCTTTTGCCTTCCAGACACTGACATTTTAAAAGAATGCAGTCTTTCTTTTTTAAAAGAATATTCTCCACTTTCTACTTGTTGGATATTTCTTTATGATTAAATCCAGGCAGTGCATTTTGGGTTGGGATAAGACATTGCTAGAAATGTGTCCTGTTCGGAGTGTCACTTTTGGAGGCATGTGCACATTCCACAATTTGGACTTAAAAAAACGGTGGTGGGTCTCAGGACGGGGCGTCTCATGCCTGGATCCCGGACAGCCGCCATGGGCACAGCCGCCATGTGCTGAGCTGTCCCCGGGTCTGCTGGGTTCCGGGGGCCGCTTCCTTCGGGGTGAGTAGACCGAGGGGAAGGCCTCCGGGACTGGGCAGGCCCGGGACCCACCCACCGCCCTCATGGGGCGGTGAATGGGATTTGGAGGGGGGGGCGACCTTGGGCCTGGGTTATTTAAACCTCCAGCAGCCTCCTGGCAGCTGGTGGGTCTCAGGACGGGGCGTCTCATGCCTGGATCCCGGACAGCCGCCATGGGCACAGCCGCCATGTGCTGAGCTGTCCCCGGGCTGCCAGTGCGCCATTTGGTGCCAGGCTCTGCCTGCTGGCTGCCCGGCCGGGGAGCTCTGAGGATTTGGTTCTTTGAGTTGCTGCTTAATTAGCTCCAGGTTGAACCCATTGTGATTCTTGGACCTGAAACAGGCAGTAACTCTTCCTTAGCAAAACTTTTAATCACTAATAATTCTGAGCACCAAATACCAGTCATGCAGAAGCAAGGGCTTGGGGCTTGTCCTGCAAAAGTAGCTCCAACAGTTGGCCAATGTGTCAACTGGTAATGGAACAGAGTAGATTAGGCAGAACTGAGCAAACCTTAGCCCACAAGTAAAACTAGAAACCAGGAGGGAGCAAAGGTCATGCCGAGCTAGGCTCTTGTACCTGCTGGTCTGTGGGAGTCAGGGATGCTAAGCCACAGTGTCTAAGGCAGAGGTCGGGACAGGTGAGGAGCTGTGCCAAGCTGAGTCAGAGCATCCATTGGCAGGCAAGTGATCTATGGCTGGGAACAGATCCGGTTGGGGAGCTAAGGGGACAACCCTAGCTGGGTTGAGGTTCCCACCAAGAGGCACATGGCCTGGAAGGGGAGCTGCGCTCTGGTCGGGAAACAGTTGTAGTCTCCCTTGGCACAAGTGTGGACTGGGATTGGATGCACCGAACCGGGCCGGACCCCGACTCCCCCTGGTGTTCTGGAGGACCAGGGCAGATGTGGGATGGACTAGGCTAGGTCTCAAACCCCTACTGAGCCATGTGTGAGCCATATGTGGGTATGGACAAACCATGGCTGGGCTGGAACATCCAACAGCAAGAACCAGATTGGGTGGAAGGCCAGTCAGGAAAAGCCACAGTTCCTTATTCCTGGAGGTGGACTGAGTAGGGTTGGCTCATGGACCCACTGGTAAGCATGAAACCTGGCATTGGGAGAGGTTCTGATGGAGGAGCCTGGGCAACTCCTCTGGCAGGACACAGACCCGGCAGGTAAACGCAAGAAACATGATAGGAAACAGCGCAGAAAAGGCCATGGAAAGCTACCCACTGGCATACAATAGGCTGACGTGGGGGCAAGACCAGGCTGAATCTGTCCACGTCATCCACTGGCAAATCCAGGCACCAGTGTGGGTCGACCTAGGGTCGGTCGCAACAAAGACTAATGCACATTATGGAATGCCGAGGTGAGGTTGCCTGTACTGGAAGGGACCGCAGCGCCCTACCAGCCTGAGAACAAGAAAGGAAGTGGGCAGAGCCAGCAGGGGAATAAGGGAGGGTTCCTTTGCAGGACAGCTACTTCCGCAGGAGAGCATGGGCTGGGATGGGGGCAGACCAGACTGGGCAGAGCTACCACACCTGTGCGCCTCATGTGGACTAGATCAGGGAAAAGCCGGGCTCGGTGGATTATTCCTACTGGTGCAAACAAAATTAAAGTGGGCGAGGGTTGTTTGGGCTTAGACGCAGCATCAGCTGGAATCTGGGAGTGGGAGAGGCCTGGGAGGGTAATAGTGGGCTCATCCGTCTTGGGTTACCACTTCCACAGGAGGACATAAAACTAAGATAGCAGCTGGGGTGGAATGGGGTGTGGGACAGGCTGGATTACTGCTACACTTACTGGCAAACCAGGGTAGGGGGTGGGCCTGGTGGGGGTTATTGTGGGTCGCTCCAACCTAGGCTGCAGCTCCCGCTGGTATATGTGAGGACCAAGTATGTGCTGGGCAGAACTAGGCTGGACTGCAACACCCATTGGTTCCAGTGGAAGTCGGGAGTGAAAACAGAACCAACCCAGCAATTGCAACCACCAGCTGATTGGAGCGATGGACGGTGCCAGGCCCTGTACTTGTTAGCACATACAAGAAGTTTCTTTGGAGATCTTCCTAATCTAAATGTTGGACTCAGAACCCTAACGAAGAAAAGAGAGAAGACAGAACAGGTCAACCAACCATCTAAGCTATGATGGACTATGTCAATCAGTGGGTTTTTCAAAGCCCTCATAGTGCTTGGAGTGGCAAGACTGGCAGCGATTCATAACAATTGCAATATCAAAACCACCTGAGCAAGATCCTCAGAGCATGCCCTACATCTGGGACCTGGGGAGGGTGGGAAATTGGGTGGGCCTTCTCCCTTAATACCCCCCTTTAAACATGAAGGTAACAATATGGAAAAATACTAGTATTATCCTCTTTCATGTAGCCCTTGAACCTTCTTACCCTAATTAACTATGTAAAGAATGTCAAAATAAAATTTTATATTAAAAAAAAAAAACGGTGCTAGGCAGGATTTGCAAGTTAAAAATTCTGTGCAGGCCTACTTATTTATTTATTTTGTTTCTGGAGAAACCAAGGAGCTCTGTAAAGGAAGAGCTCGTTTCCCCTTTGTCAGTTTTGAGAATGGAATGGTTAAATTACAGTCCAAGATGGTGGGATTACTTTGTTCCCATCTTGTAATCTGTGATTTCAATGCAAGACAGATGTTGCTCCTCTGTCCCCAAATGAGGGAACAACAACAACAAAAAAAGATAACCGAATTTCTTTTTGCTGGTTAAATCTACATGATGTGGAACTCCAGAAATAAGAAGTGTTAATGTGTCAATAAAGAAATGTGGGATAGTGTTGAATTTCCTTGTGATTCACGTGGGAACAAACTACTTTGTGAAGGCAGGGCCACCCCAGGGGTGAGCCTCATCTCCCACAGGCTCAGATGTGCCTGAAGGTCCAACTCAGAAAAGCCCACCTGACTTGTCTTAAAGTTGATCCTGTTTTCACAAGTGCATATTTCCAAGCACTGAGAACAGTAATTTTTTTTTTCTTGTTCACATTGCCAGCAAAAGCACTGAAACCTTACTGTTGTCCATTGTTTTCCCACATGGAAAATTACAGTGTTTTTGTAAGCCTTTAGCTGATCTGGAAGGCATTTAGAAAAAGTTTGGGCTTTTGCAAAGCATATTAATTTGTTGATAAATGACTGGGTTTTGTTTCTTGGGGAAAAGCACTTAGGATGCTGATGAATGATGTTGTTGTTCTCACATTCCATCATTTGCCTTAACCTAAGCTTTGGGAGGCACAGCCAGGGATGGACCTGCTATAGCTCTGGCAGGGCCTCCCTCTCCCGAGAACTGCTTCTCTGCGTGTCAGGAAGGCATGTCAGCCCACACACTTTAGCACTTTCTAGAGAACCTTGAGCTCTGTTGGAAGCATTTGAACAGACTCATGGTCCCTCCCATCCCCGATGCCTGTCTATGAATTGTGACTTTTAATTGCTTGTGTATTTTGTCTGGGTGCGCTTCTAGGAAGGCAAGCCTATGTTTGTGTTCCCCTCTGAAAGTGCTCTAGGCTAGCACATACCCTCCAGTCCATAGGTGTTTTACTGGCTAGGGTGTGGGGAGGATACTTGGTAGTGTGGCCTTGTCCTAAGTCTTCAGTGGGCCTGAGTAACTTGCTTACCCCCTGGGTTATGTAGGGGTCAGGCTGCTGTCAGGACCAAGGTATCCAGATGACAACTTGGGGACAGTGGGGGCCACACGTGGGTTTGAGATCTCTGCTCTTGGGGAGGCACCTCTGTTGTTGATGGGGTCTTTGTGCCCTTATCTGCCACTTCCTTTCTTTTGGGTGGGAGACACTCAGAATCCTTTTCCAAACCCAAACTTCAGTCTTTTCCGCTGGACAGATTCTGCTGTGCTCAGAAGTTATCCCGTCTGCTGTTTTTGTGCCTGCTGTGTCCTTGCACCGGTCTTCTCCCCTTTGCCGCAGCATCTAATACTCTTCCGGCTCTGTCCTTTTGTAGGCACTTTGCTTCCCTACAAATCTCTTGTCTCTTTTTTTTTTTCTTAATGTAAATCAAGAAGTAGAGGGGAAGGGAGTGGGGGTAGAGAAAAAGAGAGAGAGAGAGAGAGAGAGAGAGCCATCATGGTCAGGGCCCTCCTTTTATCCTCTAAATTATGCAAGTGCAAAGGACACTCAGTCTCAGGCTGTTTTCACTGTGTAGCACTCTAATAGTCCTAGCATGCTCAGAAGCTTACTTCACTCATTTTTAATACAATTTATATTGCTATCACCCAAAATAGATATTGATGGATGCACGTGAGCAGATGACTGCAGGTGCATTAGGTCTGCTTGATCTATTTCAACATTTACTTGTGAGACTTGAGATACCCAATATACAGTGCTACCTCTCATCCATTACCTTCTCCCTAAAAAGTGACCTTATTCTCGATGTGATTTTTATTCGCTAGCAAGGCCAATGGCGGAATTAGAACTGACTGTGTACCTGCTGCCATCCAGGAGAAATGGGGAGCCGCGGGCCGTGGTCTGATGGTGTTGCCTTTTCCATGCAGGCTGGTTACATGTCTGGGATGCTGGTGCCCGTAGGCGTGGGGATAGCTGGAGCCTTGTTCATCTTGGGAGCACTCTACAGCATTAAGGTTATGAATCGCCGAAGGAGAAATGGCTTCAAAAGGCATAAAAGAAAGGTACGGAACCAGGACTAGAAAAGCTCATCAGTTTCTGAACACTCTGGACTCATCTAATTTGCTTAATAAAGCACGTGGGGGTTAATGGTGTGTGCACAGTGTTGAGGTGCCTGGCGGTGTGGAGCAGCTGCAGCAGCTGCTGCCTGGCCCTGCTTTGTTAGTGTCTTTTGCAGTGGAACAGTGTCTCAGCATTGTTCTGTAGCAGCAAGAGTTTAACGCTTTGTTATTTGTTTTTCTCTTAGCAGAGAGAATTCAACAGCATGCAAGACCGAGTGATGCTCTTAGCCGACAGCTCTGAAGATGAATTTTAAGTTAGACTGGGGTTTAATTGTGATCTTCAATGATGTGATTATTTTGTTTGTATTTTGAGGCGAAAAGGGAAAAGGGAAAAACACCATCCTCCCACACCGCAGCTGTCAGGCCGTGAGTCCCGTGTCTGCTGGGTCGTGGATTTGTCTTGTGCTGAGCAGTAAAGTCATGCTGGATCCCTAACTACACACGCAGGGTTTGGTTCATTCTGTAGTGAGCTTTGCATAGCTATGGGCTGCAGTTCATAATTATGCAGCATACTTATTGTCCAGTAGGAATAGCTACATTAGGTAGAGTAAATATTTTGTATTTTTCCACAGTGTTGTTTGCCTTGGCTTGGATTACCTTCGTTAAGTTTAATGATTGTTGCCACCAGGGCATGCTTGACTTTGAAATAGAAATCTTAACAATGTATAACCTCTCATGATCCAATCCAGCCCCACCTGAAACCAGACTTGGAGGCCGTGGTACACACTGCATTTGCATAAAAAAAAGATCTCTCAATACACTGAGGGTATGCTAGATTTGTATGCATTGTGCATTATGGTACTTTAGTCTTCTGGTTTATGGTTTTTCATCTTCTGTTTTATTCTTAAAGTTGGCAAGAAGAAAAAAAAATGCACCAGAAACAATACATTGAATGGACTGTTCATTTTCCTATGTGATGGAGTTCAAAGTACCTGTCAACAGAGTCTTAACATATTTATCTTATTTTTGTGTGTGTGCTCTGGCTTTGCCAAGGGAAAAAATAAGGAAGACATGAAGAAGAAAGTGAGGGCAGACAAGTTCCTGGCACATTTGTCTTTGCTATTGATCTGAGTTTCTGTGACCACCGCTGTGAATTCAGAGTGTTGCTTTCCATGTCTATGGCCTTGGCCATCGCAGGATCAGCTCACTGTTTCTCCTTATCTGACTTTAGTGGGAAACTAGACATTCTGTAGCAGAAGCAGGCATGGTGGCCAGAGCCCTGGCCCTCAGCAAAGTTTGTGGAAAATCAGTTTGTCTCAAGGAATCCATCCCAGTATTGGGATGATGGACTCTACCACATTAGATCATGTCTCATTTCCTTTGAAATGTCATTCTCTGATGTAATTAAAATAGGGCATTTAAATATCCTTGCCGAATCTGGGAATTTTGGAACCACAGTGGGTTGAATTAGGGGGTACAGACTCGGCTCATTTCCAAGGAAGAATAATAGTTATTAATTATATTGTCACAGTGGATAACTTGCTCAATTTCTCTGGGCCTGTTCTACTCTGTTCAAGGCAAATTGCATCATTTTCAATGTGTTGCTTCTTCCATCTGACTAAATGGAACTAAAGCTGAGAAATCAAACAATCACTCCAGGTTCTACCTGGAGAGAATCAACATGATTTGTACTCAAAGTTTGCCTACGCACCCCATCTCCAGTGCTCCACAGACTTTGAGGGGAAACGTGACATGTCACAGTTCTTTATATTCAAGACTCCAAGGTTGAGGCTGCTTGGTCAAGGAATATTTGATAGGGGTTTCTGCATTTGTTCAATGAATGATGCCTTAATAACTTTTCACTTGCTAATGCGAGTCCCTCCTTCCTCTATCTCAGCCATCTTTGAAGTGTCATCTCTAGGCAACTAAAAGAGGAACATTCCTAGAATGCATCCTTGAATGGTGAATGGCTCACAAGAACTTTGAATCAGGTGATTTTTTTTACTCTTTTTGCTAAGAGCCAGCCCTTAGAAGATGTGTGAAATTGACAAACAGAAATAAAAAGCTCTGAAAGGTCCGGTAGAAGTGAGTGATGGGTAAATAGGCTTCAGGTCATACTATAAAAATGGAATCGAGAATCCAAGCATTCATCACTCGTTGTGATTTTAAGGGTGGAAGCATCCTAGTGTTGCATAAGTGATGTTTTCCATTTGTAAGAGTAGCCCCTTGCTGTAGGTGTTCCTCACGTTAGGGCTAAATGAGTGTGATATTGACAGGCTGTTTTTAGAGATGCATAATGGTCCATTTTAATTCATTCATGCGTGGATGATACTGATGGCATCAACAGCTCAGGCTGCTCAGTCTGTGGAGTCAGCTAGAACATGACCAACAGTGGAGGCCTTCAAACTGCAGTATGATAAAATAACTGATAAAAATGTGTGTTTTCATTTTCCAGAGGTCTGTAAGGATGACATGTATGTGAATTTAGGCCGAAGCATAAATGTATGTGGCCTTTTTAGAGGCATTTCGCTGCTTCAAGGAAAGTAACTTATTTAGGTCACAGTAGGTTTCTGTAAAAACCTGTCTGAGCATGCAGAGAAAGAGACACGGTGTATTGTATGCTAACGTATTCAGCCTCACAAAAGAAAGGCATCTTGTTATTGTAGCGACATAGATGAACTTAGAGGATAATATGCTAAGTGAAATAAAGTTGTAGAAGGACAAATTCTGCACAGCCCCAATTGCAAGAGGTAGCTAAAACAGCCAAACTCATAGAAATACTCTACCAGTCGTAGCTGTCCCCATGGTCACTGAAGGAGGGAGAAATGGAAGGTGCCAGTTGGTGTAACGTTTCAATTATACAAGTGGAGCAAGTTCTAGAGATCTGCTCTACAACATAGTGCTTATCGTGAGCAGTACTGTGTCTTAACTAAATGTGGGTTGAGGGTAGGTCTCGTGTGAAGTGTTCTTAACAGCAAAGAGACGAGGAGAGCAGACCTTCATTGAAGGAGATGCTATTTCCTGAATCACACCTGCTGTAGTGGAGGAAAGAAAATCAAAGGAAAGAAAAAAAAGGATGGAAGCTGCTAGAAAAGGAATAGCAGACTGAGTTGGAGAACCTGGGATCCGCCCTTGCCCTCGATGGCCTTTCCTGTAACCAGAAGGTTACATCATTTTTCGTCTCAACTTCTTTGGTTTCTTTCTCTCCTGCAAGATGCTGATTTTGGTAGCTTGCTGGCATAATTTGTAGGCAGTATTTGGAACTAATTAGCATCCCAGAGGAGCAGATTCCCTTAGCAGTGCCTTAGCCTCAACTTCAACTCATAAACTGTTTCAAATGTAGCTTTCTAGAAATGCTCTCTTAAGCTACCTGTGTCTCCTGCGTAAGTCAAAAATGTAGGGAAAATTTTTGAAAGCAAAATTGTAGAATGCAATTAAAGTGGCTCCAGCATGGTTGATCAAATCTACTTCTTCATTTCATTATTTCTTCAAAAGCCAAGACTTAAGAATGAAATGTTAAGAGGTGAAAATAGCATAGCTGAACATGGAACATCCTATGCCCTAGTGCTTCCCTCATGTGTCTACAGTGAGGCTTTTTCTTGTGGAAGTCCAGAGGAAACATCTGATTAGGAATCACAGCCACAGCTTGAGAGCGGGGTCAGATGATGCATGGGCATGGCAATTTCTGTGGGTACAAATAATCAACATTGCTGCCAGCTGCCCAAAAAACCCGTCTTTGGACATAGCATGGATCAAGGTTCTAGCTCTGTAGCCTTTGGCCAATCAGGGTTTGTGATTGATCAGGCCACAGGAGCGTCTGAAGAGCAAGATTACAGCTGAGGAAAGCAGCTTTTTCAGGCTGTCTGAAGGTATGTTTACAGGGAAGGAAAACGGATAGAAGATAGCGAGGAAACTGTAATACAAGGTAGGTACAGACAGGGTTCTGACCATGAGAATTTGCTAAAGAGGGCCACGTTCCCAGGGGACTGATCCTTGGAGAAATGTTGCCGACCCCAGAGAGAAGAATGCAAGGGAGATAATTAGGTGAGAACCACAAAGCTACACAAGTCTATTTTCTTTCCGAAAACTGCCCTATGCTGAGTAGAATAAATATGGTTGAGAGAGGATTGGAGTCCAAGATGAACAAGGAGAGGAAAGCTGCTGGGTTACTTTAACTGTACTTAAGCTCAGCTAAATATCTTCCTTAATTATCAGTTAGTTCATACGACTGAATATAAACTTTTAGAAATGGGAAACAATTTGAGAATAAAATAATGTCGTTGAATTAATAGAAGTCTTCTGTCTTCACATTTGGCCCCCATTGCATAGTCATGTACCTTCTTTCTGAGCTAACTATTAGAATGATAAACTGCGAATGGACAGAGGAAAGACATTTAATTATGTTACTCTGGTAATTATAAACTTGGGCAGTCAGTGTAGCTGGAAACAGAAGCACGAGGCTTAATTTCTGTATGCAGAAAAAAAGCTGTATTTACTTCATAAGCCACTGTTGTTTAAATGCATTGGGAATATCCTGTTTGTGGTAACAGATGTATCTCACTTCCTAGGAATTAATAGACATTTCTGTTGTGTGAATATGGGTTAAAGAGAGAGGAAAGAAGGAAGACAGGGAAGGAGGAAGAAAGGAAGACCAAAGTTTCCTCATGGAAATAGCAATAGAAGCAGAACGGAATAAGCCACCTGCTCCCTTGTTCTATCTAGTTTGCTCATAAAAGCCCAAAAGAAAAAAAAAATTAAGTAAAAGCATCTCAAATCTTCCATGTAATAGGGCATAGATCCTGCGTTTTCTCCTCCAAAAGCATCAAGAACATTAGTGACGGTAACCACTAACTGGTAACATGGAGTGTGGATTCTCACCTGAGAGTCGCAGCCTACGGTCTGAAGTTCAAGAGTGATATTGCTGAGAAGCCTAAGCTGTTGTGGGCTGAGGATAGAGCATCTGAGGATGAATAGACACAGCAAACCTCTCTCTAGGGGGGAACTCGGCCTTCTCCAAGTTCGTAGCTGCAGGAGAGGAACAGTGCGAGTGGAAGGAGTGCTCGCTTGGGCTATCTCATCACCTTCAAGGTGGGCAGATCACTGACCTTGGTCTCAAAGTTTAGGAAACTGAGGTTTTTATTAACCAGTGCTACTTAGCAGTGAAAGGAAGAAGGCCAACAACATTAGAAATATTTCTCAAATTTCACGTCTCAGAGCACTCAGAGTTCAGTTTCAGGCTTCTTAATGACTGCTCAGACTAAAATACACCTGCAAGGAGGGAAGCAGTACTTGGATGTAAAAACCCCATTTCGTAGATAAGAGGGATGGAAGTAAAAGAGAAAGAAATGATTTTCTACATGAGGAAATGTGTGTCAGGGAGAGTGAGGACAGTCGGTGAGC